GTCCAGAAATAATACTGATCGGAGTTTTTTAGGTTTTCAGCTTAAAACTCTGAAAATCTATTATACTTTGATGTAAATATACTAATTGAATTTCTAATTTTTTGATTAGTTCATTAATTAGTTATGAAGGGGTCTTCGATTACATCAGCACGCATCGTTCCTTAAAAGAAATCTTTTATTTCAGCAGAGCGATTCAAAACAAACACAGCAATAAGTCAAAACGAAGATCAACATATATAAATAATGGAAGATATGCCTTGAAATAACTATTGATTGAGAGACCTGCTGGATGAAATGGTCTACAAAATCCGAAGAAGAATACCCCGCCTTTCGGCTACCTTGCGGTGTAGGGTGCTGTCCGAGGACAGTTTTGATAAGCCCGATATTTTTCCTACGTCTATTGGTAGTACAGCTCTGGACAGAAGGCCAGCCTGACGCAGAGTTCTTCCCGCTCAATCACTTAAGCTTCCCATACACACTGACTAACCACATACTAGTCACACGGACTTTTTTATTGTATGTCAACGCGTAGCCAGTTTGTTATCGGATGGGTGGTCCAAGATAAAACAGTCGTTAGTAACTTGTCCAAGGTCATTCTATGACTGATGAAGCCGAGGTTCGAACACAGTATCTTGTGAATATGGGTCAAACATCTTAACCATTCAGCCATACCGGCCTACAAAATCCGTAAACATCTATTATTTGAGTAAGCTTCGGTACATCGGCTGCCCTGCTCAGTGTGCATTGCACAGCATTGTCTATGATATAACCATTTGACATCTTTCCACTGTTTCACACATCAGTGAAAGACATGTTAGCAGCTATCTGGGCCTAATCAGCCATCCAATATCTACTTTCATGTACTATGTTCTATGCCGTTTTTGATTAAAGTCATCATTATTATTTTCATGATTGTTTTATCTAGACACAGTAAACGCAAGACGGCTGGACACAATATTTGTTGACTCTTGGCTTTTGTAAAGTTGACATTTGAATTAATAGTCAATATTCGTTCAATCACCACACATACTGTCGTCTCATCTCCAAAATCTGGCAAAGACTGTACTGGAAATGCAGTTAATTAACCATCGACAGAATTGACCCTAGTCTCAATCCTGCTCATTCCTTGAGAAACCCTGGAAAGATCTTGCAGGATCCTGAATCTCAAGGATCCGATCAAGTTTTATTCAGGATCCTATTCCGAATCCTGGTAATTCCTGTTTCCAAGATTTTTCAAGGTGAAATAGAATTCTATTCAGGATTTCTTCAGGCTCCTGCTCAAATATTTTTCTGAGTTGAGAATACAGGATCCTACCAGGATTTACTCAAGATCCTATCAATGATCCTCTCAAGATTATGAGAGAAGATTCTGTCAAGATTTTATTAGATTTTCGTCAGGATCTAGGTCAAATCTTTGTATCAAGATCCTGTCAGGACTGATATTCACATCAGACGAGAATCTTGGCAAGAAAATAACAAGATTAGTCAGAATACGAAGCCAACTAATCCTGCAAAGTTTCAATCGGGATCTTATTCAGAATCTTTCAAGAATATGCGTTTCCATATTTTGCAAGACAGTATCGATTCTAATCAGGATCTTGATAGGAAAATATAAGGATTTAGCAAAGATCTTTACAGCACCCTGCTTAGTTTCTTCAGTCGTATCTATTTCTTGAGACAACCTCGAAGGATCTTTAAGAATCATAAATCTTAAGGATCCTGTCAGATTTGATTCAGGATTCTATCCAGAATTAGTTCAAGTTCTTGCTCGAATTTTTTTTGTATTGATATTGCAGGATTCTATCAGGATTCACTTTCGATCCTATTCAGGAACCTGACAAAAGTCATACGGAGGATTTCGTCAGAATTTCGTTAGGTTTGAATCAGGATCTGTTCTGGATCCTGATACGAGGATCCTGTCAAGAGTTATGTTATTTCAGAGAAGGATCTTCCGAGGAATAAAACAAGATTAGTGAGAATCCTCAACTGAATAATCTTGCCAAGCTTCAATCAGGATCCTGCGAGAAACTGTTCAAGAACAGACATTTCGGACCCTTAAAAAAAGTACAAGTATGAGCAGGATCTTGATAGGAAAATATGAGGATTCAGTTAAGATCTTTCCAGGTTTGTGTTTAGAGACTATTCAAAATTTAATTTGCAGGATGCTGTCAAGAACCTAGCAAGAATGCATGAAACAGCTCCTTCATATTATTAGCTAGGCTTACATCAGGATCCGTTCAAGCTTTGTAAATCTATAGATTACAACAGAATTTCAATACCAATGTTGAGCACAATCTCAACAAAAATAAATAGAAGGATGTTTAAGATATTATTGTGTCTTTATTTAGAACGCGACAAAATTCTGATACCTTAATAATCTGCTAACATTTCTATTCTGATCCTGATTTGGTAATTTTAATAAAGAAATAGAACGAATCTTAAAAATCTCAGAAAAATATTTTCTAAACCTCTTTAAAGTTTATATAAAAGTTGCTTTGAGATTCGAACTACAATATTAAGTTCTTTTTTTATCTTATCAGGAAAATAAAATTGAATATCATTAAATTAGAGTGTTAATTTGAATCTAGTCATCGTAAAATTTTTTCGTTCAATATATAATTTTAATCAGTAGCAGACCTTTTGATAAAAACTGCTTATAGTTTTCATTATGCTCGAAAAAAAACTCCAAATATTTTTTTGAACCAAATTGAAATAAATAAATTCTAAATATATTTTTCCAATTGAATTAAAATTAGAAAAATCCAAATACAGTTTTTAATTCAAATTGAAATAAAAAAATATGCGAGATGCATTTTTTAAATCAAGTTAAAATTTAAAAAATTCGAAATATATTTTTTAAATCGAATTTAAATATTCGGAAATGATAAAATTTCACCGACTAAAATAAATATGTAAAATAATATTGCATTTTCAGAATTTTATTGAAATAATTTCTATCTACATAAAATTCAAATGGAAGTTTACATTAAAGTCAGAAATGAAGATATTGAGCGTTGAAGTGATAGAGAATGACATGACACATCCAGCTGGGTAAGCTGATCAGTATTTAAACTGTAGGTCTAGAGATCGATACTCTATGTGTTCATTTCATTTATATTCTATTTAGAAAATCCTGCAAAGATTCTGCCAAGAAACTAACAACATCCTGAAGGAAATCTAGTTCAATCCTACAGAGATTCTGTCAAGAAATTCGATTATATCTTCGAGGAAACCTCGTCAAATTCTGAAAGATGTAATCAAAAATCTTTTTTTCCAATGTTGAATTATTGAAACCCTGAAAGGATCCTACAATTTCGTGGCTGCACATTTCTTTTAGGAATCATCAATTTTCTGACTTAATCTTGATTCAAAAACAATGATAAACTTGTCAGGATCCTTGATAATCTTCTTTTGAATCCTGGCAAGATCCTTAAAAATCGTGGCTACACACTTCTTTCAGAAATCACTGATTTCTTGGCTCAATCCTGATTCAAAAACAATGGTAAACTTGTCAGGATCCTTGGAAATCTTGATTGGAATCCTGTGAGGACCCTAAAATTCCCTGGATACACACTTCTTTCAGGATTTAGTCGTTTCCTCAGGAAAAAAAAGCGAATCCTTGCAGGATCCTGACTATATCTGTCAAGGATCTGGCGCTGAAACATCAAAGATTTTCCTTATGGAAAAGTCGTACTGATAATGGTTATTATCTTCGTAGTGGAAAGTAAAAAGAATTTGATTGAAATACGCTCATGACAAGCGAAGAATTAATTGAAAATGGATGAAAATACCACCCACATCTGATTTCACACGAACTTCTTTGTTTGTATGTGATAGTTGAAAGAAACCTGTTTACTATACCTGAAGCAAACATGTCCAATAGTTACAGAATGAGTTAAGTTTACAGTTAGAGATTAATGTCGAATGCTCACTCGTTTTGATTGAGTTCGATGAAAAAAGATAACATCAAAGGAAAGACTCAAACTGTTGTTGTCAAGTTGACATATTATTTTATGATAAGATTAATTAACATGTTCGAATTATCAGATAATTTTGGAAAACATTCATCACTATTCCCATAATAGTTTGCAACCGTGATAATCATATGTCAGATTGTGATTAAGCTCGAAATAAGTCGCTTGATGATACTGAGCCCACAAACACGTTTAGGTTAATTGTTTGAGTGGGCGAAGTCTTCTTACCTACACCCTCATAACTCACAAAAACACGGCACCTGATTAAATAGAGTTTGTGTATAGGATTGATATAATCGTAGTCCTTATCTAGGAACACAGTAATTGATGGTGTAGATAATAGGCGTGTTTTAGGCTTTTGGCGAAATACTCCGTTCGATCTCTGAAAGCTATCAAATACATCTGAAAACTGTTTCCGTAGAGCGGTTCTCGAAATAATTGTACCGATGCACACTTTTTCCACAGTGATAGTGTATATTCTACAATTAGGTAATTCTTGGTTTATTCTGATTTCTCATTCAAAATTTATATTTCGTTTATATCTTGCAAATCTTGATAATCGATTCCGCAGAGTAAAAGTCTCTGACGAGTGTCTTTCGCGGACTCGAGATCTAGATCCTTGCAACAAAACTTTTTTCTGTTATTCGAATATATGAAATTTAAGTTGACGGTCTTGGAATCAGATTAGATTAGCATTATTGAGTACGAGTAGATTTACATTAGAATGGACTAGTGTCGAGAAATAATTCATGATATGATAGTTTGTGGAGACGTAGTTTTTCTTAAAGAAAGGCTTAAGTATGAACGGTGACTATTTATTGTCTTTTAACTGGCAGGACTATAAGAAGACTTTCTGATTTTCAATTTACTATTTGCTTTGATATAAAAGAAGCTTTTCTAAAAAAGAAGTTTTATCGAGGCTGCCATTCAGGCACATTCATGATTTGTATACTAAAAATAATCTCTGATGTATTGACGGTTGTATAGTAGGATCTGTTGACATTGTGGTTTCGTTTTTGTTTTCGAAAATCGATACTCATATAGATCATGTGTAGTATGTCAAATCATATCTATTAATTTACTATGTTGTCCTGACTTTAGTGTTCTACATATTGTCTCCGATGTCCTTAGAATAAATTCCGATATCTTAGTCCTGATGGTCATATTGAAGAAGAATTATATAAGCCTAAATTCATATTTCATTCCGCTCATTTCTTCATCAATGATTTTGATGTATTTTTGCAGTGGATATTTCGACAATCATTCTTTATATTACATCATATAAGGAAGGGAATATTCAACATAAATAGAACAGAACAAAGAAAATAAAAATAACACGGATGCATGCATGTCTCACTGTCTAAGCTGTCTGGCTGCCTAGACTACCGGCCTGTCTAGAGAGTCTCTCTTCCTTTGCCTTCACTTCTGTGAACTTTTTTCTTCGTATATTTATATCTTTACAAAACAATAATAAAGTAAAACAAGTGTTATTCAAATAAAGCTATGCCTAATTTCAAAGTGCAAAATTTTTTTTCATTTAAAAATTTCGAAAACAATTTAAAAATTTAAATGTAGACTTGGCGACTCAATTTTTTTTCAAAATGTAGCCCGTTCTTTGCTGAATAGAGCTATGTAATTAGAAATGTTCCATCGTTTCTTGGTTTTCCAGAAACAAGCATTCTTTTCGATCAGTGGGTCCAAAAACCATGGTTTTCTAGAAAACATGCTTCCGAACATTTTGAACAAAAGTGTCCGCTAGACAAAAGAAAGAGCATGGTCTGAAACCCTTAAGTTCTAAATAGCGTCAAATCAGATGTACCATTATCATGTTTGGTTTTGGATGGAACACGCCTATTCATGCTAAAAATATAATGCAGATTGAGTAAAACAAAGAAATATCTTTCATAATGATTTTCAAGCATCAATGATCTAAATGTTGGGTCTTAGAGATATGAAAAAAATGGTGACAGCGGTGAGATTCGAACTCACGCCCTTTCGGACCGGTGCCTTAAACCGGCGCCTTAGACCGCTCGGCCACGCTGCCTACTTAATCCCATAATAAAATCCCTTTACATGATATTACTAAAGAGTCATTATACATTATTTATGACACATTTCATATATCTATATAACAAATTCAATTATTTTCTTATCAGATATAGTTTGATTTACAAACAGAAGTGTAGACTTTTGTAAAGATAACTAATTCACAATCGCTATCATTTATGACAATCAGAAAGCAGAACAAAAAAAACTTTTTTTTCTTAGCCGCGGTTATATAAACTATAACAAAGCTCACAGAGAGTTCAAATCAACACAAGTGGAATCATATCTTCAACAATTTAGTATTTATAGTGTTATTAATAGTTTATACTTCATAGTTCCACTTAAATAATTATCAGTATTCGTTCTTTGCTTCTTCTCTTCTATGATCAACATAATAACACCTGGTATTTAGTCGCATAATATGAAACGCATTTAATTTGATTTTATCAATCCGATTACACTTATTCATGATACTGTGCATCTTCTGCATTAAACATTCAATATATTATATTAAGCACCAAATTTATTTCTGATCTGAGTTTCAGACGATCTTATTTAAATAAAAAAATAACAATTTTCTAACGAAAGTACTTCATTACTATTATGCTTGTTTTTTTCAAAAAAGTTTTTGAACTCCAGAAATACTAATGTATTTTTTTGTTTGAAGAGATACATTCATGAAATACGAATATACTAATCGAGATTACCCTATTTTTAAATTAACAATTTTCGTTTAGTCTTTCTTCTTAGTATACGAACTATCAATAAAGTAATGAAAATACCATGTAGTCAATCATTTCTCTTTCTCTTCTATGCTTAGAGGAAAAAAGAAAGAAAGCAAAAAATAAAAATAAAAATCGCATATACAGCGTTCGTATTATTATAAAACAAAAAAAAAGAAGAGAACTTTCTTTGCATCAATAAGAAAAAAAAAAGATGAATCATAATTGACAAAGCAATGTTTTATACAGAGCACGTGTATTTATGGGATAAATAACATTTTTTTTCAACATCACGCGTATAAATCTTACACTCCAATCGTTTGAAAAGGTGACTGAAAAGAAAGAATCAAAACAACAATACCGAAAAAGTAAGTAACATATGTGAATATATATGTACATAATTTTACCAGGTACCACATATGCCTAATTACTCTATTTCAATGTAACACATGTTTATTATGTTGCCTATTATAAAAAAAACGCATCGATGACGATACATTTCGAAACCGATAATTAAGATATCTGTTTACGATTTTTTTTTATCAAGAACACTAATATTTTTCTTTATAATGAGCCATTCCGTCAAGATGAAAAAAGAATAGTGCAGCAACGTCAGTCGTTCTTCAAGTGAGGTCACACAATGCAAAAAGGATTAAGAACAAATATTTGTAATTTATACTCACGCAACTATCGGTTGTACTTTAGTTCTATTAAATAATATGATGGTATAACGTTGGATCTTTTTTTAAAACAAGATTAAAATTGATTTGTTTCTTCGAAAGGAATTGACACGTTAGGGAAGTTAATTATTTATAAACATCTTGAAACTATTTTTCTATTTCATTTTTTATTATCTTCTAACACAAACATGAAACACATAGATATTCAATGTCAATGATTCTTTTTTTGTCTAAGTCACTACACGTTAATTCAGTTTTTATCATTTTTGTACACCTTATGACAAGAAATAACTTCATGACAAAGTAGCATATTATCAAGGTTCTTTTTTTTCTTTTTCTTTTTCGTTTAAGTCATTTTCTATATTTTATTCCATTTCAGCTGTTTCGCAATCACACATATATTTATTCACTATGGCCTTATCTCCACCAAAAATGACTAATGCATGCAATGAAGTTGGAAGTTTTAAATGCAATCGTAGTAGTCAAACATATGATCAGCAAGATGTTGACCAACATCAAAGATTTCTCGACGAACAGCTTGATTGGCTAACTGTTGACCATGATGATTTAAGACAAGATCTTTTGGAGCGAATCTTAACACCAAAATATCATCCTTCAATGACTGTAATTGATACATGGGAACAAGAAAGTATAGCATGTATTCGACGAACGGCTGTTTTTGCTCGACGAGCGCTTATTGATGCTTTAGATCAACATGTATTTGAAATAAGCAATAAATTAAATATATTAACGCCAAAATTACGCGAAGCACGTGATCGTATCGAACCTTTTGACGAAGATGATATACGAAAATGGGCTAGTATCTTACAAGAGTTGAAGCAAATGCCACTGTTTCCTGTTATTATCGACAAAGAAAATAGTATTCATGGATTAACTATCGACCTTAGCACGCATGAAAGAACTTCTCATTCGGAATCAAATTGTGAAGAACCTACGCCACATACTTTACTTTCGATTATTCGTAATCCTACTTCTTCAATGTCAATGTCTAATAGAATGGAATGTCAAACAAGATCTACAAGTGCCCTGAAAAACATTCACGCAAAAAATAAAGCAGTAAAATTTGATGATATTTCTTCAAATAGATCAGAGACCATTACGCCAAGAGGAGTTCTCATTATTAGAGAATCACAAAATGATGAGACTACTACTCTTCGTATTCAATAATCTCATACAAAAATTTTATTTGAATCGAAAGCTAATTGTTTTCTTTACTAGCCAGTAACTATTTATCGATATATAGTTGATAAATACATATAAGATCGTTTGTAAGACAAATATTTGTTTTGTCAAGTATTATTTTTGAAAATATTTAATCAGTTGTTTAGTGGATTTTTAATTTCATTTATTACGCATTGCATCTTAAGCTTTTTTTTTAAATAAACAATTCATCATTATTTTCATACAGAAAAAATCATTAAATATGTTCAAATGCACGTTGAAATAGAAGGATTTGATGGTAAAACGTCGAACGAGAAAATGTCGGAAGACAAAATGTCGAAAAATAAGTTGTCGAAAGAGAAAATGACAAAAAGAAAATTTGAAAGCAATGACATCAAAATGATGTCGAACTAGGATATGGTGTGAATGTGGTGTAAGTATGAGTGTGAAGTGCAGGTAAAAGTATCACATTAGAATTACCATTAGCATTATTTAATTTCCCCCATAGCCAAAGTCGCAGCCAACACCAAGACTACAACCACACGCACATCGACACACTTCACACCCACAGGCTTCGAAATCCTTACTTTCGACGTTTTGTTTTTGACATGTAACTACTTTTCCAACAGAAGCAAAGATAGCCGTGTAATGTAGTAGTAATAAAAGAAGCCTATTAAGAAAGTTCAATACACTTTAATGTGGTCATTAATATGCCAGTTATTCATGACATTTTACTCAAAGGGATTTAGCTCATCTCTCTATTGATACATAACCATCTCTTAACTGCAAAAACTTTTATCATAATTTCTCGAAGCATAAACCTAACATATTCATAGCTTTGTTCAATGAAAACAGAAACAATACAATCAGCAACAAACTGATTTTTGCCAAATCGAAAGAAATACACCTTATATTAAAGCTTCGACTTGCTTGTTCAAACTCTCAGTTTTGACTTCTTTCACAAAACTTGCTCGTTTTATGTTATTTTCTTTCTTATCCTTATTTCGTTCGTAAGATTCAACATATCTACTGTATCATCAAGCATTTTTATAATATTTTCAATGATTTCGTCCTCTGAACTTATTGACGAGGAATTGAACCCATTTTTTCTTGCTCGAATCCGAGAAGAACGTTTATTTACGTTGTATCTAAACGTGTTAAAAAGAGTATGAAAAATCTTCATATCAAACTATACCTTATTGCGAATCTCTATAGCATATGAAACAAGAAATTTTCTTTCACTATATAATTATCAATGTGTGACAACGAACGAAATGAATTCACATGCATGGAGATTTAGCTAACTAAATGAGATATCGTCAAGAACAATTATTTTATTATTTGAATTTGTTTTTAATGGCAAAGTTTGTATAGAGTGGACCTCTATTCTGCGAACAGAGTGTAAAGTATAAGGCTAGGCTTTCTGGCTTCCTCCATAGCAATCCAGTTCAAATCGTAACAATGAGGATATAGATCAATGATTTAAACGCCGTTGACAGTTATTGTAATGCTGACAAAGGAACTCTCAATAGGATTTAGCAATCGAGACTAATGATCAGCGGACAGGTTTCCATTGCAACTAAGAACAACAGACACCAAATGCCTTTTCTAAAGCTCCTTAGTAACAGATAAAGAGCACCAAACGGCATCGGCAACAAGGCTTAGACGGTTCGAGAATATTCCAGAATTTTCGTCGAAATCTAAATAGCTAGAATAAGTTTTTGAGTGTTCTTAATAGCGCCAATTCTGATTTTTTTTTGGCCGATAGCCGATAATATCATAAATATCAAAGATGGCAGCTAGTGATATTTTAATTTGCCACAGACACCGTATGATCGATACTAAAAGTATGAACTATTCAAGTTGAAACTCTTAGAAATAATCCATAGGAGTATTTCTGAGGTTATCAAGATACATAATAACACGTTCAGACTTGTTGTAGATATAATAGATCTGTACAGAACGCTTATTTGTCAGTTAAATGAATGGTTAGAATAATAATAATAATAGTTAAAAAAAAGAAAATAAGTAACTGACAAGTTCTAATTATTTCAATCAGACATCATTCTTGTTGAGTAACAGAACCCATAATGGAAGAAGATAAATGTTTCTATTTGATTAAAATTTCCACGAAAATAGCCATACTGGAATTTTTTTGTTGACTACTGTAATAAAAACATTATTTAGACGTACTTTACTTGATTGCATCTTGAAGTTAGCAAATATGTCAAGCAGTAGCAATGAACACAGTTCAGATAGAGATGATGATCCTTCAGTTAGAAATAAAAATCTTCAACCAAAAAATGGATTCATATATTAAAAACTTCGATGATGAGACACGAAAGTTTATTGTTTTCTTCTTGTTATTTTACTTAAGATTCCGGAAGATAAGAGAGATATGATTTCGTCAATTTTTTAAATGTACCTAGGGCAAAATATGTGAATATTCTTTTTCCTTGATTATCTGAGGTCATAAACTTCATCTATCATAGACTATCGATAATCTAAAAAGTTAATTGTAAATAAATAGGAAAAATTGTGTTCATTTTTTTCAAAATAAGAAAGAGTACTGAGAAGAACAATGACAACTATATTATAAAACATGTGGAGATCGAAAATTGTTTTGCTAGCAATTTGGGTTAAAGTATTGGTGATGGAACATTGGAGTTAGCATCTGTCAGATATGGTCCCATCAAAAGTGCTAAGATGAAATATGATATGCTATTGGAGAAGAACTAGCTCATTTTTATTATAGTTTATAGTTTTGTATGATTCAGTACGATTGATGAAGCGACCAAAGCCATACATAATTTGAATGGAAAAATATTTGATTCACAACCAATTTATGTGACGCTCAAACATAGATTCAGTAATAGGTCGTCGATCTTCAAATCATCGACATTTACAGAAAAGTATTAGGGTGCCCATTTCTCATCCTATTTCTAGATCAAGATATGTTGCTAATTACTCTAGAACTTTAACTTCACCAAATAGATGAATATCATTCAATATATAAATTTCAATGCAATCATATTCAAGAATGCATTCAGTTTTCGACTATAATCATCCGTGAATAGGATGAAACTTTCTCAACGACTAGTAGAACTTGGTATTCTGATCTGAAAAACTCATACTCAAAAAGTTTTAAAATGATGTGGTAATGGTCTTTCACCATCGGTACCAGAAGTGTCCCGAGTCAAAACCTGACTTCCAGAATTTATCTATTTCAAAATGATAAAAAATTGGCACTTTTAGAGTATATGTTACTCAATAAAACATTCATTTTATTATACGAAAAATTTTTCTTTGATGCTACATTTTGCAATAAAAAGTTTCCCAGGAAAGTCAACTTTTTCGAAATTTAGGAAGCTTAATTTCACCGACAAGAACCTCAGATTTCATTATCAGTTGTACATGTGTTAAAATCGTCTTTCAAAGTACTATCTAGTTATAAGATTTGGAAAAGTCTAAAACCAAAGCCGATCGCTAAATAGGAGAGTTTTAAGGGTGAATTTTCGCTTTATCTTATAAACTTCTCAAGTGTCGACTGAGTAAATTAAGGATTCAGTTGAGGAGAACAATACATATTCATAGCATATTCAAAGTGAACTAATAAAAAAAATTATGTTTGAGCATTGCCCTGCACTTTTAGAATCGATGGAATTTCAGAATTTTCAAACATGTTGGGCATTGAAGCATATACACCTTTGTTAGAGTATATGTCAAGGAAATCTCAAATATGAAGTTTGTCCCTGTCCAGAATCCATAATTTTTCCAGTCAATACTTTACAAGTTTATAAGACAAAATGAAAATTCACTTCGAAAAACCTTTCACTTAGCAATCGGCTTTGGTTTTAGATTTTTTCCAATCTTATAACTAGATAGTACTTTCAAAGATGAGTGTAACACATGTATAATTGATAATAAAATCTAATCAGTTGCTTATCGGTGAAACTAAGTTTTCTAAATTTTGAAAAGGTTAACTTTTCTGGAAAACTTTTTGAAGATAGTTCTTTAGATTTCATCCTATTCAGATGAAGTCGATATAATTGTGGTACACTTTCGAAAGCATTACCTGAATAGCTTCAATAGAAGATTCAAGCTCTGAAAAATCCATATTCTTCGTTATGTTCTATTACTTTAGATTCCATAAAACTTATGTATTGTAATGAAAATACTGGATCGAATAAATGAAGAATAATGTTTTTTTCTTTCAGAATACCATTCTGATGTATCTGTTTCAATTATTAATATTATAATTTAACAAAGAATAAGATGGAATAAAAATCAAGTCAAATATTTTTTAAATCGTTAATTACGACACTTTTTTCAATATTTACATGTGGATAGTGAAATAGTAATCATGTGCATGGATTTTTTTTTCTTTCTTTCTATTTCATCAGCAATATATAAAAGAAAAAAAAGAAATATCTGATGACGCTGAATGTTATTGCATAATTTTTCAAAGAAAATTATGAAATTTTTTTTCTTTATATAATGTTTGTGACGAGAAAAAAACATGACTCAATATTAACGAGAAATCATCATGTAAAAGCATATTGTTCGTGTTGCAAATACTCATACATTCATTTCTTGAACACACGTTTTCTTGCGACTGTCGTCAATAATAAGAAGCGGAGAAAAAAAGAATCAAAGGCAAACATAAATACAGCAACAATAACAAAAATATAAAGTAAGGGTTGCTATAGTTTATTTCTGAAAATAAATGATTATTTTTTCCAATTTTAGCGAAGTTTAAATTCATGAAAAGAATATTGTTAAGATTATTTTTTGGAATTAAGCTAAAAAGAAAGTTAAAACTACCTAAGCATTAAAATAGAAAACTAAATTTTTATTTTCATATAAAATAAACATTTATCATATTTTTCTTTTTGTTTTTCTTTGGTCAATGACTCGTATGATAGTATGGATTTTTCATTGATGACGATGCTTTCATGAGTCATGTATTACAATTGACGCACACACTAAGATAAAATGTATCGCAT